GCCCTCGCCCTGCGCTTGTGCGGGGCTCGTCCCTCCCCCGCCGACGGGCGCCGTGGCCAATGAGCGGGCTGCGTGCTGCGCCTTCGGCCAATCGCGCCGCGCTTCACTGCCCAGTGCCGTTGCTAAGGGCAGCAGCGAGGCCGGGGCCCCATAGCAACGGTGGGGCTGGGGATGGAGAGCGCCAGGGGCCGGAGCAGCCCAGCCGGCGGCAGGTGAGAGGGTTCCGGGCTTTGCGGGGCTGTCTGCGGCCCGCACCTGGGTGAAGGGCGGCCGGGTGCGGTGTTTTCCCCGGTGCCGTTCCACTTTTCGGCGGGCGGGCGGGGTTTTGGGGTGGCGGTGTCTGCGGGAGGAGCCCGGCGCCGCTTCGCATCGCGTCAGGAGCAGCGGCCGTGGAGCGTGCGGTGCCCCAGCCGAGCCCAGCGGCCGCGGCGGGGCCCCGGGCGGACGGTGCGGTGTGTGCCGCGTGTCCCGCCGCTGCTGAGGGCCCCGCGCGGTGGCGTCGCGCTGCGGGGCTGGGCGCCGCGGCCCTCACCGCATCCCCCGCCCCGCGGGCGCCACAGTGGTGTGTGAATCCCGGCCGTGATTTTACCCGCTTCGTGCTTCAACGTTATATACTCGTGTATGGTCCCGGTAGTTACAGATTAAACTGGTTCCGCGGGGGGTCTCGGCCCGCTCTCCTCCTCTCCGGGTGTTGCTGTGGAGCGTTTTTGCGGCGTTATTCTGCTTCTTCTGGTTCTGATGAGGCGCTGGAGGGTGCGTGGTCACACAAACTCTGCCATTCCAAGGGAAAAAGAGGAATAACTGAAAGGAACTTCACTGATGTGATAGGACAAAAAACATCTGTAAACTTCAGAGAAGACATTTTTTGAAAGAGATGGTGCCTGTGGCATTTGAATAGCTCAAAACGGAAGTTATTTGAAGCTAAATGTGAGGATAGAGGCAGGCAGTGAAAGTGGGTTTTGCCAGAATTCTACTGTGACTGTAAAAACACGAGAGAAAAATATCTTTTGTGCCTCTGATGTTTGGATGGGGCAAGAAAAAGTAAGTAAAGAGAGAAACCTAAACTTCTAGTAGTTGAATTATAATGAACAAATTGTAGAAGAGAAATGGTATTTATTTATGACTCATACTTGGCAATTTCAGCTGAGGGTGAAAAGAAGCAACAGAGTTAGAAGGGATCCCGTAATCACTTGGGTTCACCAAATACGCTGTGAAACATTAGAAGATGACTTCTCTGTGCAGACCTTAAGGGCTGAGGTTTGTATAGCAATTCTGGAAACAATTTTTTGAAAACTGATGACCAGATGCACATGAATTTCCTTGCGTGGTCATTAAACATTTGACAGAGTTGAAGCTGCAGGAAATGATACAGCTTTTCTGATAACAATTGTGCTAGAATAATTTCTTTCTGCTAAGAAACTTGTTTTGCATATCTTTATGGGTACCTCAGAAATAGCCTAACACTCATGGCAGTTCATGGGATAGTTGCTTCTCTCCCACCTCCAGTTTGTTAAAGAAACAATTTCCTTAACCTTCTTAGTCTCTGCAGTTAAAGAAAACTAGAATATATGAACTTAAATAAAAGTATGTAGTTTTAAAATAGATCCTTAAGGCCTATTATTTTTTACGGGTCTCATTGTGAACTTAGAATGATCAGCAGCACTATAATAAATTGCAGGAAAAGACTGTATTCTTAAGACATTCATGAGAAAAGAATAGTAAAATTATCTGTAAATCGCTGACTTAGTCATTAGAACTCTTGTTTGGTACAAAATTGTCAGTTGTCCAAACAGTGGTTTGCATAGAAAAACTAAATGTGATACATAATAACTGGCAATTCATAGCAATGAAGATACTGTCTACCATCTTATAGAAGAAAGGTTCTGAAAAGTTTAAAAAAGCTGCACCTGAGGATCAGTTGGCACTGGGGTTTTTTGCCTCCTCCCCCGTGCCCCCTCCCTGAGGTGGAATACCTTTGCTACTGAGCAACATGTAAAATACGCATTAGGATATAAAAAGTATTTTATTTCTGGCGGTTAGAGATGAAGGGAACAAGTCCAAAATAATTGGGTGTAGTTTTATAGATGTGCTGTGGGATACTTGGTGATAGGTAGACGGCTGAGGTCTTGCTTTAGGCCATCTCTGAAACAGGCTGTCCCTTGAAACTTTGCGTTTCTATCCCTTATCCCCTAACACTACCTTCCATTTAAGGTAGCTGCAACTGGAATTGCTCAAGTTCATTTTAAAGTTTGATTAACTTTCAGGTAGACATGGCACTAGTGTCTTAATGCTTTAGAAAAGAAGGTTGATAGAGCTGTTTCGTGGTTTTGATACATGCTATACCTTCTGCCTTCTTTTGGGAAGGTCCATTTTGAGACTTAACACGAACTGAATAAAGTTGAATACAGTAGAAACATTCAGATAAAAGTAATTCTAAATCACTGTGAGCTTTAAAAATATTGAAAAGGGAATTTGTTTCTTACAGTAATATGTATTTTAGGGTCTTGGAGACTGAATTTCACCTTTTTGCACAATTATAATACAGCATACAAGAATACTTAAAGCTTCCCACATGCTGCCTTGCAAGTTTGCTTCAGCTTCTGACCTGCAGATGAATGTAATTGTAAATGTAATGAATTATGAACATAATATAAAGAAAATAATTTTCAAGATACAAAAATCTTGACTGGGTCTACAAAGACTGCAAACCTGGGTGTCAGTTACAGCAGTCCCTCCTGTAATTTGGATGCTTCTTGGATGACTAAACATGGATGAGTAAGTGGTTTTCAGTTTGTGAAGTCAGGAGTTCTGGAATATTACTTCTGTGTCTTCAAAAGTTGATGAAGAAAAAGAGCCTGTTAGGTTCAAAAGGTTCAAAAGTAATTTCATATATTGCTGACCAGCCAAAAGCCCTTTACATACTTGAAAAAACTTAGCGTGGGTTGAGGTTGTCAGGAATCATGGTGGCTGCTGGCCTTGACAGTTTTGTATAGATGTACCTTAACTATAATTTTGGGGAAAAAAGACAAAAGGCTTTGCTAATGATTTCAGCTGTACTTGTAACCCAGAGAAGACAGAGATTTTTACATTTCCTTTTAAAAGCCTACCAGCATCTCTGTTAGTCCTTAGGTATTTTTATTTGGCCATGGATGACCTTGAAATTAACAAGCAGTGTTTTGTAAATCCCAGGATTTATAATTCTGCGTATCTTATCCTTAGATAAAAGAGAATTGCCTTAATATCTTGTTTGCTTCATCCTTTTCAAGCCTGAATATTATAACCAAGAAATCTGTCCATAATGAGAGAAATCTAAATATTTTATAAATGTGGTAGGGATGTGATCCTCCGAGTACAGTTTCAAAAGAAAGAAGAACTTTTTGACTGCAATGTGATGCTGCTGCTGCTGGTGTGAATGAAGAAGGAATCGCTGGTTGTGGTTTAACCTCAGCCAGCAACTAAGCCCCATATAGCCACTTGCTCACTCCCCCCTCAGTGGGGTGGGGAAGGGAGTCAGAGGAGTAAAAGTGAGGAAAAACTCATGGGTTGAGGTAAAGGTAGTTTATTAAGTAAAGCAGAAGCCGCACACGCAAGCCGAGCAAAACAAGGAATTCATTAACTACTTCCCAGGGGCAGTAGTGTTCGGCAGGCAGGTGGTCAGTCCTCTCCAGAAAAGCAGGGCTCCATCATGCGGAATGGTTACTTGGGAAGACAAACACCATAACCCCAAATGTCCTCCCCCTTCCTCCTTCTTCCCCCAGCTTTATATGGTTGAGCGCGACATCATATGCTATGGAATATCCCTTTGGTCAGTTGGGGTCAACTGTCCCGGCCGTGTCTCCTCACCGATCACAGAATTGTCAGAGTTGGAAGGGACCTTCTAGAGATCATCCAGTCCAAAAGCAGGGCTTCCCAGAGCACATCACTCAGGAGCATCCAGGCGGGGCTTGAAGATCTCCAGAGAAGGGGACTCCACACCCTCCCTGGGCAGCCTGTGCCAGGGCTCTGCCACCCTCACCCCAAAGAAGTTCTTCATCAGATTTGTGTGGACCTTCCCATGTTCCAGCTTGTGCCCGTTGCCCCTCGTCCTGTCACTGGGAACCACTGAAAAGAGGCTGGCTCCATCCTTCCTCAAACTGTCCTTGAGATACTTGTAAGCGTTAATTAGGTCTCCCCTCAGCCTTCTCTTCTCCAGGCTAAAGAGCCCCAGCTCTCTCAGCCTTTCCTCACCAGGGAGATGCTCTAGGCCCTTCATCATCTTTGTTGCCCTCGGCTGTACCCTCTCCAGTAGTTCCCTGTCTCTCTTGAACTGGGGGGCCCAGAACTGGACGCAGGATTCCAGTTGTGGCCTCCCCAGTGCAGAGCAGAGGGGGAGAATGACCTCCCTCAACCTGCTGGCCACACTCTTCCCTATGCAGCCCAGGATCACTGGCAACAGAGAAAAAGTAGCAGAACTGTTACACCTGGCACTAAAATTTCCAAATACAACTTGAAATGCAACTTGTGACTGCAGTTGTTACAACAATGAGAGAACTGTCTTAAAGTTGATCCTTATTTAAATTGTTTCTTTAGTTTCTAGTAAGTTCTTCTCCCATCTCTTGCAATTTGGAATTTAGGTTACTGGTAACCCATTTTATAGAGACAACCATTATTTTTTTTCTCTTCTGCTTTTTTTTTCTTTTT